AACAGTGCAAACCTTTTATTTATTCCAAAATGATACCACTGAGGAATGGTAGTTTTTCTAGGACAATTAAAAGTGATTTATATTAGAAACAAGGTCACCGAATAGTTCATCAGTATTTTTGAGACGAATAGGAAGTCTCTCCTTTTCGTCGAATCTGTTGGCGACTCTCCTACTTTGCGGGGCTTTAGTATTGAAGGCAACCTTTACTATCAGAGAGGCTCCATGTCAACTCAATTCGATTGGTTTTCAAGATATATTTTCGTATTATTTGACCTCAGGTGATGAAGAAAGGAAAGAATTTATAGGTGCAAGTGAAATTAGTTCGCTAATCAGTGTGCAATTATAGGTGCACTTAATAGATGTGTCACACCCGATTCCGTCATTGTTCTGTATTGCTGTCTAGCTCTCATAATTATGTCGTTTATGTGCTCAATATTCCAATTGCTTGCAAATCTGAATTTGAACTTTAGTTTTATGAGGAAATGTCAAAAACGAGGCGCTTTGGATATTTGCTCCAGTAAGTGGAATAAACGGTCTGATTAATTTGTAGTTCTTCTCAATTGTGTATGCCTTGGATTAATGTATTGGGCAGCATCCTTGATAAGCCAATTCCAATTTAAGCAGCTCAGAATTATGATTGTAATTCCCACCTTCTCCTCCATCGAAGAAACGCGGCACTTTATCAATAATGCGACAAAGAAAATCGATGCTTTTTCAGTTTCCTTCTCTGGTGCATTTTACTTCGTACTTTTGGCAGGACTTTCCTCTTTAGTCTCCTTTGCCACTCAGAATTGTAATGGAGCAAATATTTCTCTCTGGTAAGTTCACATAAAATTAAAGACGCAGTCGTTCTAATATTCTGAACTCGTGGTCTGTGTACTTTTTCCTGTAAATTTATGCTCTCAGTCTGTGTCTACCTGTACAAAAGAACTACGTATTATTCCCATCGTTTCAGGAGACAAACAACTGGAAGAGTCGAGCCACAGCGAACAGTTAATTGGTGCGTTTATTTCGCAATATTCTGTCACCGATATACATTTTGTCAAATGCTCCTATTTATTTATTCATTTATTATTAATCTGGAAGCTTACTTAAAGTATCGTCGCTTGTCCATATTGTGCGTTTTATAATTATTTCGTACCAAGAATATGTGAAAACGAATTCGTGTTTGTCAATTTTTGATCACTGGCAGTTTGAGAACATTTCAAGGTTACTGGCATCAGTTGTAAAAAAACAGTTGTTTATCATTCAAAGAGTAGAGACTTCGAAAAAATCTTTTACTTCGATTCAGCTTTGGAAATTACTTTAGCCAATGAATACTAACAGGTTCACCACCTGCAGCGCATTTCGGTCACATCACTCTAGATGCTGGAAACATTGTTAATTACTTGTAGCCAGCAATTTCGGGTATTTCCTTCTTAACGTCTGGCAAAAACATGTCGAAATCCAAATTCATAGTCAAATTTCAAGTATCATCAGGACCATGGTTGATTTGCAGATTTTCTTCTCAATTCACCACTGGACGTATATTCTGTTTATGAAGTGGGAGTATATACAATGATTGCACATTAGTCATGAGTCATTTTACTGTTGTTGATGGGCATCACTTCTATTACTTTATTTCGAGGATTTGAGGGACATAAGAAGTCGTCCGAAAAGTTGAGCGGGACTTTTCAAAGACAGCCATTTGCTAGATGGCTCACCTCATACAAACGTGCATGGTCCTGCATGTTTGTAAGTAGCCAGCATACGTGTCCACATAATCTGGAACATTTAAGAACGAACAGGAATTGTTGGATATGGGTAGACGGGGGTGGTGGTTGTGAACCACGATTCACTGTATTTTTGTAACAGTCCCAGGATTATGCAGTTCTGTCATTATGCTGGTGCCAGCTCTCTCGAATTTGTATGTTGTAAGTAAAAATTCCGTTTAGGTTTTAAATTTTCGTCCTACTTCACTTTATGAAATGCGCATTGCTTCATCCGGTGCATCACTTGGAATTGTAATTCTAAGTACGGTAATTTGTTAGCGATCTTATACGCATCTGGACTAAAAGGCCAGTCCAGATTTTGCTTTACTGTGGGATTCCATTCGCGTGGCATAAAGCGGCTTCAAGCTAATATAAATCGTTTTGGGTAAAACCAGCCTAGTGGTAATACTCGTTTGTGCCTGCTTAAAATCCCTTTTAAAGGAGTATTATGGTGTGTTTCGATCATCTGTTTGACTAAGAAAATTTGCAAATGTCAATTTTAACGACAAAAAGTGGGTACTAACAGACGCTGTGTGGTGCAAAGGGTGATTTTTTATTCATGCGCCGTTGCACGTAAGTCGTGCACAACGTGCGACCGGTTCCTAAAGAGCTGTCGTTGATTAGTATTCAATGTTACTTGTTTTCACTGTTTAATTTTGGCTTTGGTTGATTTTTTTTAGAATATTGCCATCCGTTTCAAGGTGATCACAAGGACGCATTGTGCTTGCATATTGATACGCCTTTTTCATCTTATTCCCTTTGGTGCTCTGATTTTTTTCTATTGTTTTATATTCCGACATAAATGAAGATATCGATGCTTGATAAATGCGCAGAAAGCTCTCGTGGACGCATTGCAACTTAACTTGGGTGGAAAGCTTAAAAAACGTAAAATTTGCATTCAGAATGATGTCAAATTGCTATCGTCCTATCCGCACCCACAAATACGACTTTTGAGGAAGAGATTAACCATTGCTTTTTGAATACACCAAAGAACCTCAAAATATTGAGTCAAAGAGGTATGTTCGGGTGGGTGATTAGCCGAACCACCCTCATTATCATCGGACCAGTTTCCCATACCAGCCAGCTCTTCGCCACGTAGACGGATGGCTTAAAACTACCAGATTAGTGGACTGACGTCTTTTCCGAACATTCATTCGAAACTTTATTAGCCACCGACATGCCTCTACGCCATGGGGGAACTAAACGGCAAAATTCGTCCAGATAGTGGTGCACGTGAGTGCCCAATCTCATGACCGAAGCCAAATATGTGAGTATTTCGTCCACAGTTCGCTTGTGAAAACAGGCCTGTGGCAACGCAGTACTTATTTTAGAAGATTAGTTGCAGGTTCCCTAAAAACAGATGTGAGATTAAGTCATGAACTTCCGGTATTAAAATACGACGCAGAGCAGCCGAGCCTGAAGGGAAGCACCGTTCTGGGAAAACACCCAACTTGTATAATTTTTCATTTATAGAGGCAACATAAACAGGATAACTAGACCACGATCAGTGACCAGGACACAGCATATTATCCTGTGACACTTGAACAGGAATGCAATGCAGTTACAATGCGAGCGCAAAAAAAAATTGAGCATCAATTTGGGAATTGCAAGCATTAAAAAAAGTAAGGCGAAAAATCATTTGTGAGAGAAACGAATTCATCTTATGAACAATTAAAGTACGAAAGGAATGAGTGCTTTCCTGGATTTAACAAAGTCAGGGAAGTGTTCTTCGTACCAGTGATGGTTCAGCAATCCACTGCATATTTGGTTTAAGGTGACGAAGATAACTACCGGTGAAAATGGAATCCACTGAAAACCCAGGAAGACGTGGGTTCCCACATAGAGAGATATCTCTAGTGAAAAGTGAGGACATGTCACATACGTGAACATGCTTCCCTTTGGCAAAAGGTAACTTGATTGCTTATCTAAAAGAGTAAAAATAATAAGAAACAACTCCAAAACATTGAATTGGGTCGGACTGACTAGTTTCAGAGAAAGGATAATAATATTGAAGGCATGTGCAGAATCCCAACCGTTAAGCTAACAATTTGTTGTTTACATCAAGATTTTCGTAAAAAAATTCAATTACGCACTAAATAAGAGCAAATTAAACCAAAAAAAAGAACAACGGGAGTAAACAAGTGCTTTTGTATAGTTTCATGAGAAGAATCTACAAACGTGTTGGGCGTTCAACATCTTACGCGACAAAAAACACTTAAAAAGCCAAAAAGACCAACCTTTCGGGGCAGATTTCCGGGTGTTTGCCAGCTGCCTCAAGGCTAGATGTTGCAGAAACATAACACAAACCGAAAAAAACAAGTAGCCAATAACAGCAGCAACACTACGGTTATCTGAAGTGAAGATGAATTTGATTCAATAATGAAATACATCCAATAAAGCAGCATAATTGGAATATGGTGCAAAGACGTTTGCTCTTGGAGATAAACAGCAATTGGGCACACAAGACTCACACATTTTCATTTATAAAATGCTTAGGCAAAGGCAATATTTTTAAAAGTAAATCAAACAAGCAATTTTAATGATATACATATAATCAGAACTTACGTGATTTGACGTCGCTCCAATATATGCACAGAGGCAAAGTCAGGTAGAAAAAATGGCCAAGGAAATAGTGAGCAAGAGACATGCTACTATTTGAAAATATCTGTACATAGAGGTTCTCATAGAGGCGTTTTAACGACTGGCAGGATAAAACCAGAAGAACTATTGTGGTGGAAAATGTGGAGCCTGAAATAAAAGTGAAAACTATTTAATGGAGGACACACGTCGGGCTACACAAATAATAAACAGTGAATAAAAGATAACAAGCACAAATTGATATCACTCAAAAAATCTTAGGCCCATTCAACACAAAAAAGTAGACTGGCGAATTAGACGCCACATCCAGGAAATTAATTTAAACTTACGGTTATTAAAAACTGAGGCAACTAGTGCAGTAGGAACACAAACGGCAGCCGTAAAATAAAAGTGAACAAAAAACCGCTTAGGTACTTGAGAAACAGTACATTTTCCCTTAAAAGGTGAAGATAATTTTCCGAAACGGACAAGGTTGCCGATTAAGGGCGAATTACGTAGTGGTGTGTATCTTTGGACTGCGAAAATAATTATACCTCCAAGTGAAATCCAAAGATAAACAATAGAAACGAGGTACTGTATAAGCATCATAAAACCTAGATAGAACCCTATAATTCACAAGTCACCAACAAGCCACGCGGCAAAACTTCAAGGACGAAATATACAGACGAAAACCCGCTTCAATCAGGAAATAAAAACGAAAAATGGATGGACATTTACATCTATAATATTAAAAGGTGCATAAATACGCTTTTGAAGCTGGTTGATTAAGAAAGAAGCATGGTAAAGTGTATTTTCATTATTCATCATGGTAAGTCAAGTAAAGCTCTAAACGTTAGTCGATCCTCATAGAGTAATCTAAAGACCACCGATTCGTCTTAAGTGCCAAATTTATTTTTTAAACCTAAAATCAAGTGCTAATGTTGCTCTTGTACAAATAGTCCATGGACGTGAACCAAAGTCTACCAACAATTTTTTTAAAATACAGTAATTGTGTTATACATGTTCTTGTAGGCGCAACTACGAAATTATATAGTGAAGTTGTATTAATTTACGGAAATAACATTCATTATATTTAGGCTATCTGAAGATCGCAATTTACCTGTTTATTATGTTATCCTATTAATTGATCCCAAGGTTGTTTGAGTCTGATAGTCCCAGCTTGCGTTGTTGATTGCGATGTCGGGTTGCTTGCCTCGTTTTATTTCCGAAAAAGAAATAGCTGAAAGGAAACTTAGAGATGACGCGGAGGGTAAAAAAGAAGAGGCATATGATCCACGTCCCCTATACGACCGCCTTCAGGTATATAAACATATACTCAATTATTTTAGGCTGAACGGGCTCGCAAGCAAGAAGAATATGAAGCAGCGACTGCATTTAAGAATCAAATTCATCGACTTGACGAGGATGAGGCCGCATTTTTGTCTAACGTTGATCGCCAACGGTCTCTTCTACTAGAATCCGTCGATCAAGAGGCTGATATGTTAATACAAGAGGCCAAAATATCCTTTTCTGACGTGCAGCTCAGTTTTCTGTTGCGTTAACGTCTTTTCGCTCGGCGAATGCTTTGCAAGCTATTTGCACTATATTTGATATTTAAATAATTCTAATCCATGCTCTTTTTAAAATGTCTTTTCCCTAACTATGAAGTACGCTGCTAATCGATCATCCTTGTTAAAAGCATCTGGATCCTCAACCGCTAGTGCGAGCATCGAGGTTTCCAAAACGCGTCCTCCGATTTCTGCGTCTAGTCGGCTTAACCAGAAAAGCCTTTTGGCTGGAATCAAGCGTAGGACGTAAGTCAAGTTTTTCCTCACAATTTGTTTTAAAATCATTATGGGAACTAATTTCTAGATCTCTGTAGGTCAATGTCCACGGAAAGCGACTCAAAGAAGCCTCACACTGATGAGAATAGTGAGTTTATTTTAGCATCACTAAGTTGCCTGTTTGCCGAATTTAATATAGTTACAATTGTCATGGGAAGTCTGCGTACATTAAATAACGGCCTCTCCCATTGTTATCTCTTTACTATTTTTTTTTTAATGCGGTCGCATAAAAATGTTGAATACTGCACATATAGATTTCTTTCCACATGCGAAATTTTCGCCCAGTTTTTGTCTGTCTGTAGACGTTTCTTTGACGGTGGTACTTTCTTTTTCGTTTTTGTTACGCATCTATTTTAAATTTAGGTAGTCCTATTCCTCAGACAGCTCTAGACAAGAGCTCTCCGCAGCCAGAGAAAGCGGTCGAAACCACAAGCAACAACTCCTCAGCTCGAGTTCTTGCGGGTTACCTTCCGGGTCTAGATGCCTATGGAGACTCTGATAACACTGACGCGAGCTCCGTTGACAGTGACGATGATGATTCTACGGATGTTGAAGATGCGGCCCTTTTATTGACACCCGTAGCCCTCACTCGTGGGAAGACCAAACGGGAGGCTGAATCCTGTGAATGACAGTTTGCAGATGGTTTATGAAAATATGTGTACAAATGCATCCTGATCCAAAATTCGATTTATTGTACCTCCAGCTTAAAGTTAGGAAATATATGCCGCTCTTTTTGCCTTATCCTAATTACAACTGGGAGCTACATGTTCCCGTCTGCATATTTTGCTGTCGGTTCTGAGCAGAGCGTCTCTAACCCTGGCCAATTGCATGGTGTTCCGTTGGTCGAGCGCTGAAAGTCGAGAATATTTGGCCGCCACATTCCGTCATTTTTCCCGCCGGCATGTACCGTATGCCCCCCTTTGACCACAGAATCTAACAAATTGCGCAGATTTTCCCAGTAGGCTTGAGGCTGGAGCTTACTTTGACATTTGGTTTCGTGAACAAATTGACAGTACTCGGTAGTTTAAGAAATCGGCACTCATGATGGTATCGAACTAGAAGCCAGAATTATGTTTCGGTACCCTTTTTCATTACAATATTTTGTGCAACACGAAGTGTGCAATTCACAATTTGCAAACCCAATCAAGGCTGGATGCCATGTGAGCTCAGATAATTCGAATGTCTAATGATTTTAATATTTCATACTCCTCTATCTACTCACGACAATTCTAGAGACGGAATAGTTGTTTCGACCATTCTGGTATGGTCCTGGAATTTGGTTTGACGTGGTGACCACTACTAGCCATGGCGCGAGTTTTGCTTTACTTGAGATGTTCCGATATTGTCGAGTCGGAATTACTCAAACAGATCCGGAGCCCCAGTTAATGAGCAGCTTCTGATGCTTCTGGCGTTTAAAGGATTATCCCAACTGACTTCCTAACAAATATTATGTAGAGTATCTAAAAGCGCGACTAACTAAGGGGTTTTAATGTCTCATCAATGAAAAATTGAGGATAAAGAACCTGAGACGATAGCTATCAACGAGGGTCGCTCATACTCCTTCCATATTACTAGAATTTGTGCTTGCAATAATAAAAACAACGGTAACAGGGCCTGCCAGTAGAGCGAATTAACAGTGTCATGCATTTCCGGAGACGAGAGCTTGGACGGTGAAAACTTTGCTTCTCTGACATTAGCTACATTATTATGACTACGATTGAAGCAAGTAAAGAAATGATCCCGATAGAGTAAGAATCGAAATGTAGAGAACGCGGCTTCACAAATTTTCCCGGCCAAGTAAATAACAACTAAAGAGGAATGAACACTCAGGGAAAAATTTTGGTGATGAAAATACCCAACCTCGTGGTTACAAAATCCTAACTTATTAACCAATCAGTAATAGAAAAGAGTATATAATGAGTCCGTGAATATCTCACGATAAGTCATGGGACTAACTCAGAAAAGATAGTTCCAGAACAGTGAAATCAGAGTTTTCGCTTTATAGGTCATGTCTAATTAGAACCAAAGGTAAAATCACGTAAGAGAAACGATTTACAAACATTCATATTATTATTCGAACATAACAATGAAGGAAACTAGGCCCGCAAAGAGAACAAATGTACGGAATTAGAAGGTAAAAGGGGACAGAAAACGTTGTGCTACGCTCTAGGCGGGAAGATTGTCAGAAGCAAAGCTATGAGGTGTTGAAAGAACTCAGATTATAAGGCATCAAAGAAAAAACAATGCGGCAGTAGGGTAGCAGTCAGAATGGTTACTCAAAGAACAGAGCAAGCGATCTTCTTTTCGCGGAACGGATTATCTTTAGGAGGGAATATAAGCGGGTCGTTGCGTTCACGTTGCGTACAGTATTCCACGAGCTCAAATAGCGTCTTCGATAAGTTCACTGGCTTTACACGTGCGTGTATTTTCAAAGCCCTGACCTCCTCCCTCTTGAGCTCGACATCTTGGCGTCGCCCCATTTTGAAATTGCATTAAACAGGCGGATTCATGTAATCATAATAGAAGGATAGCCTTGGCTTAATCGATCAGAGATTAATATTAAAACCAATTTCAAATGGAAAAACTTAACCAGATCACTTTCGGTGATGTTTTAAATAGCTACGTGAAATAGACAAGTCCAATTAAATAAAGTGATTGCCGGAAAATTGAAGTAGACCCTGCCTATAAAAATAAAAGACCTATGAAGTACGTAATCAATGAGAATAACACCGCAAATCTATTGCAATCTTTCTAATCTAATTTCAAGTTCTATGCATCATCAGTTTTATTAAATCCACTTTTTCGTGGGTATGGCGGAACAAATATGTGAAAACGCTTTCTGAATGCACGTTTTAATGGGATTTTAGTCGAATGTCTAGAATAACCTGTCTGGAATGGTACGTCCAAAATGCTAAAAGTTAATTGAGACGAAAATATATATAATAGGCACACATTGTAGTTAGAATTAATGTTGTGAAAAGCATTATATTACAATAAATACTAGTCTTTCAACAATAAAATGTTGTTTTATATTATCATATTAAGTGAAAGATATGAAAATCTTCTTTAAGTTGGCACCTTACAATACGCGGATTATTTGATAAGGAAATTGACTGTACTGGTTGCTGTTTTCCGCCTAGTTATGGAGTACGATCCTGCATCTCCCACAGAGTAAGTCTGTCTATTCTTGCTCGAATGCTTTAGCGAGCTTGAAGAAAAAACTGATGTCGTAGATGTGGATGCTATTCCTTTGCCAGGTTGACTTCATATCCAATATTAATCGTATCTGTTTAGATAAATCAGTTCATGCTGACGTCGAAAGTTTTTTAATGAATTCAGTCGGCAACATTCCTCTACCTCCTGGCAGAGCATTATCAGTCGATAGCATACCTATGCCACCGGAGATTACCAAACGTCCCACCTACCCGTTCCCTCCTCCGCCACCGCCCTCTTCCGAAAATATAATTCAACCTGATTCAGGAAGTAAAAATGATCAGTCTCTCCTCTCCTTCCGTATTAAGCCCGTAAGCAAGCGTTCGCGACCGGGGACGTTACCGACAGGTGTCCTCCCCACGAAAACTAAGCATCCGGAAATTGAAGTGAAAACAGAATTGTTCAAACCTACTAAGGAGGACGAATTGGAAATAATGGCAGAATTGAATAGTGATAATTCTGTTAATCCTCAAGTTTCGATTCAACCATCTCTTACTGCTATTTCAGAAGCCATTCTTGCCCGAATCGGTAATGCTACCCAGGGTGAGCAGGACCTGGCCTCTGTTTTGCGTGATATCAACCAGATTAGCCAAGTTTCGAACTTATCTGCCCAAAATCAAAATGTAGCCGATGTAACCATGTCTAACAGTGAACAAATTTCATCGAAAAATATCCAAACCGAAGTGCCTACCAAGTCGGTGGCTGGTGGTCCTCAAATCTCGACCACTTCTCTGTCCGATGATAGGAGTACTTATAGGACCGAGATTAATAGAAATCAGAAGACCAGTGGTCGTTCGCGCTCTCGATCTAGTGCCCATAAAAATAAGTCAAAAACTACTACCCTCTCACGCTCCCCACGCCGACAGAATCAAAAGCAATCTCCAGGAGAACGTCATTCTTGTTCAAAATCACACCGTCGGGCTTCTAGGTCAAAGAGTTTCAGATCTCGGTCTCCTCACAGAAGTAGTCGATTAATATCCACTCAGTCCCACCGGTCGCGTTCTAGGCCAAGCCGCAAACGGTCGTCGTCTAGGACCGTTAGTCGTGCTCCTTCCGTGAAGAAATGTGCTCGTGCAGCATCGCGGAGTAAGAAGTGCTCTCCTTCAACGTCAAAACATAGAGAATCGCCGTCACAATCCATCCACCCGTCCCTATCTCCACAAAAGAAAAGTCGAAATGCATCTCTTGAAAGAAAACACTCACGTTCCAAATCCCGTCATCGCAAGTCAGATTCGAGGAGCATTAACCGCTCTAGGTCCTCTAGAAGCAAAAGTCTAGCAGGGTCTTCGGATAAGCGTCGCTCACGTTCTCGTTCAAATTTCAGTGAATCCGGATCAGTAGATAAACATCGCTTCCGATCGTCACGTCACAGAATTAAGGTGCGATCTCCGGTACGTAGGAACCGTTTGCGTTCATCCCGTCGACGGAGTTCGTCCTCAGCTCGTAAAGCGCGACGCTCTTTTTCAACTAATCAACGACTAAGTCGACGATCTCGATCTCGCAAACGTCGTTCATCTTCTCATGAACGCCCGAAGGGTTCGACGATCCCAAAGCATAGACGCAGTGCGTGCGAGCGCTCACGTTCTAGCAGCAATTCCCCGCCTAAACCCTCTCGTGAAGGCCATGATAAATCCCGGAAAAAGGACGAAGTAATTACTCGCAAACGTGACAGTGAAACAAACAAGGAAAATGAATCAGAAATTAAGAAAGACATCAAAAAAAGGTCCAGATCCTCCAGTTCGTCAGTTTCTTCCAACAGTCCATCTACATCATCGTTGTCAAAAAATCGCAAATTCACTTCAACTGATGCGATTGGTAACGCGCGAAGTGCTACTCAGGATGTCGAGTCAAGTAAGCTAAAGATTAGTAGGTCTTGCAAGAAGGAAAGTACCTCTACTAGTCAGAGTAAGGTGAACAGGAGCTCTTCTAAAACACCTACTATTGATTTAGTAAAGGTAAATGGGAGCACCAAAAATTCTAGGAGAATGTCTGAAAAGGAAAAAGGACCCTTTGAGACTGCTTCTGTATGTGCTAGAGTTGAGCCAGAGGTCAGAAAGCCATCCGGAACGTCAGTTAAGGGTGGCTTAGTTACGAAGGACACAAAGCGCTCGTCTCAAAGGTCTGTATCTTCCAATTTGCAAAATAAGAAGCCTGAGGAGTTGAAGGAAAACAAAACGTCGCCGAAGACGGTTGACAAGACCTCCTTATCAATAAATTTGACCTCGAGTGGAATCGATTCACGCGAATCCCTTCCTTCTTCAAGCTCCACAAGTGGGAATTCTAAATCGAAAAGCTCAAAAAGTAAGTCGACCAATACCGCATTACCGTCGTCGAAAGTCCATAAGGTCGTCTCAAGGAAAGAATCACGTCCCGTAGACAGTGAAAGTTCTAAGACGTCGAAAGAGAAAGCGTCTGGACTCATCATGGACTCAGGAGTTAAGATCCATTTGTCCGTCGTTGAAGTGGAAGAGAAGGGCGATGAAGTAAACGTGGTTAATCAGGATCCAGTGGCTTACGACGTTCAGCCAATTGGTCGAGTCGGCCCTCATACTCCCGAGTCCCCGACTCAGCGTTCACCAAGCGGTGAAACAACAGACGTTTCTTCGGCAGTCACTCAAGAATGTACAGTGTAGAAATTCAATGTTGCAGAAGCATTTGCTCCAATTTACTTCCCTCATTGGAACTCATTCCGCGTTTTCGATTTGTACATACCTCTTATGTTCTCAAAACTGTTTTGCTTCGATATCATGAATATTGTAATTTACAGTTAAGAAGCAAACTACTGTAAATCAGTTCAACCTATTTTGGTGTGATTGTCACTAGTATGAATGAACGCAGTGGTCTTTTGGTATGAACGCACGGTTGGGGGTGTATCGTGTTTTAGAGCTACTTTTTAAATATCTCCGGTATCCACCCATCGGTGGACGGATTAGGCAACGTTCGGCATAATTTAACAGGAAAGTCTTGCACATTTCCATTTGCAGGGCGTCACTTATGACTCTGGACGAATGTGATCAGGAGCGAATTTCCAGTGTAATTGTTCCTATTGGGAGAAATAAGACCGCCCTCACTCACCCGTCTTATTCCTCCACTTCGTCAACTAGTTGTCACACCCCTCTCTCCAGTTCCTCCTCCTCCGTTTCCGATTGCACTGGCTCGCCTAAACGGAGCATCCGAAAAGGAGGTGACAGTGTTGGGGGGCTCAAGCGGCCAAAGGCGATAGCGGACTCTGACTCCGATGATAGTGTCTCTAACTCTAGGTATCGGTTAAGGCGACGAAAGAATATCTCAACAAATGTGGGTGAAGTCGGTACTCCTCTGGACGAGTCCTCGTGTGCAACTCCACCGGTAAACATATCACAGCTTCTTCAGTAAGTTGCGGCAATTTATGTCCGCTTTACGATTTTACCTGAGTGTTTACTGAATCGCAGACACGTTTGCTTGGTTTCGATGTCAGATCAGTTTGGCAACTTTGTTTTAGATGTGATTGCATCGGTAGAAAATAAGATCGTTGAAACTAATCCGTTAACACACATAAATCGCGTTGTTTGGTGTTATTTGTGATTATTTTTATCACAGACCTTTCGAAGTGCAACCAATAGAACGCTTCTCGAACCGAGCGGGTGTTCCTAGGCCTGAGTACCAGCATGTCCTCGAGAACGATTACACTCTCATAGAAGCGAGCTTACTTCGAGAGGGAGTAGATCCTGGTGATAATCCAGCTTTCCCACTCCGAGGAGGCGGCGGTGACTGGGTGTGCGACTGCGAGGTTCCCACAATGGAGGATTTACTCTCCGGAAAACTTGGTTGCGGCCAAGGTTGCATCAATCGAGCCGTCTACATTGAATGTGGAAAACGATGTCCCGCGCATGCTGTTTGTTCGAATCGTCAGTTCCAGTTACGGCTCTATGCGCAAACAGAACCCTATTTCTGTGGTCCGGAGAAAGGTTGGGGCCTACGGGCTCTAAAACTGATTCCCAAGTACGTTCGGGGTGTCGTCGAATTGACACAACATTCTAAATTCTTTTTTTCCATTAATACATGCGTTCATTTTCTCCCTTTCACGTACTGATGTGTGGTCCTCTGTATGTTGATGCAGGTGCTCACGAATTGAGGCGAAAAACAGATTCCAGTGGCTTTTCTATGTATTTAGTGGATTTGCAAGTAAACGGCTTGTTAGGTAGCAATGTTTTAATTGCGCTATTTGAAGCGTCACCTGTTTGCTGACTTGTGTCGTAGCTTTCTAACCTAGTTCAACACTAAATTACACTCGTGAGTCGAGCTATAAATCAAATGCTTATGTGATTGAAACAATTTTAACTAAAACCAAAATACCGAAATCGTCCACAGAACCGCATTAGAAAACGCAGCGATTCTATTTGCATGCTTGTTACGTTTGTGATTGTAAGTTGATGCTGGTGGTCACAAGAAATTTTGTCGAAAATGTTTGCCTCTTGAGTATCCAAACAGGCTCATTATTTTATTTGCCTTTAGCGTGCAACCGCATTGGTGTTAAGATTCAATTTAAGAAAAGAACCTGCACCAGACAGACTACTGTGATTCAACCAGTACCTAATTTTCCAACTGCGACGACAGTTGTAAATGCCATTGCTGCCAGCGGTGCTGTGTTAAAGTATGCTACTGGTGTAAAAGTAGGGATGATTGCATATGGAGTGCAGTGGTGTCTGTGGTTACCATGGTGTGAAGTGGTGATCCTTCGAGATGTGCTACTGGAGTCAGGGCAGCTAAAACCGTCCACCCGAACAGTGTGGGTGTGCGCCTTGAAGCATTTGTCCCGAATCAGAATGTGGTGAGGCCCCTCGTATAGGATTTTCGGAAGCAAATATCCCCCAAACCGTGTGTCAACGGCATGTGTTGTTATTCAATGAGTGTGAGTACTTGCTGGTGGATGTTTTCCTAGTGTTCATCTAGTTACATTAGGCCTGAAGTGGAGGCCTGGAATCGTATGTACGTAGCGCTGTGAGCGTTTGTATGAGTTGTCATCGAAAGTAGTGTGGTACGTTATGGGCAATTTGAACGGAGCATTTTTGCACGAACTGCGTTCGTCAGATATAGTTTGCGGATTTCTGTGTGTCGCTTTGTAATTAGCGGTTTTCAGACAAAAAGCACTCCTAGTGGGTTTGATTATTTTGGAATTGTCACAGGCTTGGTTTAGCGTTAGTGGTCCAAGGTGAAGAATAAGGACAATGAAGTGGGTCGGTTGTTTGAATATCGCGGATGGCACTTTTGTAACTGGTGTCATCCTGAAAATCTGTTTAGGCGAAATGCATTTATCTTTTATCGTTTTTTCGATCCTCTTTCATTCAGGCGGAAATCAGGCAAACCGTCGTTTAGTTTGAATGATCGCGTAGCTTCTTTGTGTTAATATGTCTCCCAATCTGAGCCTAGGCTTCAAACTTGATTATTCATTTTACCTGGTATTATCTGCCTTGCGTATTTGTGACTCAGCGAAATTAGGCGTGACTGCTTTGCTGCAATTCTAGGGTCACCACAGCCTTTCTTAGTGTGATCTTTTCGGCCAGCCACACCATTATTTGAATTTCTGTAACAATTAGAATTCACGAAAATAACCCTATTGCACCACCAACTACTGCTTGTCACACCTTGTGGTTTTGCGCTTCTTCCCGTCACATAGGGGTACGTTTATCGTGGAGTATGCTGGTGAAGTGATAGATTTCCCTGAGTTTCGGCGTCGCGTCCGATTGTACGAGAAGGCCAAGCGTGTTCACCACTACTTCATGTCGCTTGGGCCCGAGCATTTCATCGACGCCGGCACCAAAGGCAACTGGGCCCGCTTCGTGAATCACTCGTGTGAACCCAACTCGGAAACACAAAAGGTAAATCTCGTCACTTTGTTCTAGCGCTCATGTCGCAGTGAGGCAGCTGGCTCACAAGTAATTAAGCCTCCGTGGGGCCTAGGCTTGTTATACGTCTGGAATGGACCACCAAGGTGACCTTTAGATTAAACTTTCGATTCTTTTCCCCTTTAACCTGAGTTAATAGGTTAGGTAGGTGGGTGAGTAGGCAAGGTATCGAAAGGGATCCTAGATTTGGTTGTGACCCTACTGTGGAGGCCACCTAATGTCAATTGAACCAGCATCGATTTTCATAAGTTAATTTGAAGGTGGGAATAAGGCAAGATCGACTGCACGCAGGCCAGATGTGCGTCAAGTGGCTGAGGACAACGGTGTATTTGCATGTTGGTTATCACTATGTGAGATTGCAGCAACGCGTGGTGAGTGCATGAATAAGCACACAGTACGGCGAATCCGAGAAGCCTAGAGTAGTCTGTCAGCTACTGAAATCCTGATCATGTTATGTGGTAGGAGGTACGACGCTTTACTAAGACGTGGCGTCGGAGAAACGGATCGCATTCCTGTACAATGCTGAAAATTCTCCAGGTGCCTTGGCAAAATCACGAGGCTCTTTCCTCCCGTGTGAATGATGGGGAATTTTCTATAATTTTTTCACGACTTTGACCTCGCAATTTGCGATGTAGTTATTTTCTACAGAAACAATTATGCTGAGCTTATTAATAAATCATTAGATGACGTCTGGAGTAGTTTAAAACATTTTGTTGTGGAAACACTTAAAAAGTGAAATACCAGAAATTGCTGTTATTTTATGTAGTTAAAGTTAAGGAAGCCCGAATTTTTCTCTTTTATCTCTCTTATAGTGGATGGTGAATGGCCAAATCAGGATCGGTTTTTTTGCTATTTCTGATATCCCCGCCGGTGAAGAAATCACCATTGACTACCAGTTTGCCCAATACGGGTGCGTTTTTATTACCTAACTTTTGCGTGCTATTTCAAATCATTTTAACTCACGTTTAAGGCAATCAATTCCGTAGCCTTCATCTGTGTTATTTCTTGCGCCGCTTGTGTGTGGCGCATGGCTCACTACGTTTAAAAAGCTTCCATCTCAAGTTGCCACAGACAGAATCAGAGGAATCTAACCGCAAAATTTTGTTGTCTTTTTTTGATTCAGTTTGACAGAACAAAAGTGTTACTGTGGAACACCCTCTTGCTCAGGTATCATGGGGGCAAAAAGCAAACAACTTCAGGATAAAGTTCGTTTGAAGGATACCAGGGCGGTAAGTCTTATTGCGTTATGAAAGTTTTTCTACACCACAACGCTTTTTTGAAAGGTTAGAGTATTCGTGTATTGTATTGGGGTTGTAACGCGCAAACCTTTACGAGTTTTCGCTCCCATTGGGGGTTCCTTCGCAGCCACCCTTGTACTCACCACTCACCGAATCGTTTTGGAGTGGTACTTAACGTAGGTGACACGACTACTGTTTCCAGATATCGAAAGAACGTAATCGTAGTCTTCCTCTTAATCAGCTCTGATGACATGTCTTTGCTAACAACTGCAGGTTTTTCTTGAACATCCATGGAAGGTCGATGTCTGTGAATGCAAAGCTTCAATTTATTTCATTAAAGTCGATGCGTAGTTCCCAGTTAGTTTAGTGCTGTTACGCGCGCTATCAGTTGCTCTAATTAAGAGTCGTGGAGATCCATTGTATACTGTTTATAAAGTCCCCGTTATCTGATGCCCTCTTTAAATCACTTATACGCAAATTACGCGTTCTTAGTTAGTCTTCACATCATGCTAGACTTTGTGTGCTAGCTAAGGGTGCTCGCTGCCAGTGTATGCAAGGTTGGAAAGCTGACAGCGTTTATTTGACGTATTCACGAGTGTTCTGTGAAATGCAGTCTTGTAGAAGTTGATGCAGGGTATAGGGAGGTAATCTCTAGGGGTTAAAAATTCCAGACAAAAGGAACAACTCCGCCCCTAACAGCATGCCATTTTTGATACTTTGGCACACTGAAGCGTTTCCTTTCAATTCCAAACCATCTGATTCTTCAGTTCAAAATGTCCCATTTCATAAAGTTGGTACAATGGTAAAGGTGTCGAAGGTTGCTCAAATCATCTGATGCACGTTATGCGATGTACTTTTTGTTGTTTGAGAATGCTCAAGCCATCATCTTAACCAAGGGCCGTTTTGACGGGATTTGGTTTGAACCTTCTGATTCCTAACAAACAATTTACCGGTATTTCAGGTTGAACGTCGCATTATTCAACTGTTGACTGGCAAAACTCTTCGGACAGCCGAAGATGTAACCTTCCTTATTCAAGTCATGGTTCAAGAGTATCTTACGCGGTACACTCGTATGGAATTGCTGAAGTTGCTTGCAGACACAAAAACCGAGAGCTACCTGAAGCTATTTAGGCAGTACAATGGACTGGAATTACTCGCCTCGTATATGTGTGATACTGCGCCAACTGACTGGGAGCTCAAGCGCCAAGTAATAGACCTTTTGTGATTGGATGCCATCTTATTGATCGCTTCTGTGTGAGGAATCTGCCTCCCTTTTGACCATAATGTTGTGAAGTCTAGTTGGTGGGATTGTCCGTCCGAAAGCGCATTCAAGCCTCAAACAAATTATTTCTCGTTCACGGATGCTTGAAGCACTTAATCTTTCAAAGCCAATTTTGATATTTTTTTTTCCACAGAGCTTCTACTCATAACGTGTGCATAGTCCGATGGGACTGTTTGGCATTAGGTTTGACAGAACGGTGCCTCGACCACAAGAATTAACATTGTTCCTAAACGTATTATTATTATTATTCGATGAGGGGATTTCGCTAGCAAAGAATGTAGTTTTGGGCTTCGATCTATCATAGATTACCCTTCTTGAATGTTGGTAAAACATGGTCATTTAAGACTTTGTACTGAGTCCATTTTTTGCTGTCAACAGTCTGATTCGGTGCTTAGGCTTTATCGTTTAATATCCTCTTCACTGGAGCGGTGTTTAGTAAAAAAATTCCACTATTTAGATTCTCGTCTGTCTGGATCATATCCCGATCTCCGAGCAAAAGCAAGTTCAGACAGATTCCAGCCTCATGGAATTTGTTCGCCAATGGACACTTGATCCGCGCTACTGTCGGTCGCGTGGTGTGACGAAGAAGGAGACGGACACAACCCGAAATGAGCCCAGGGTTGTTGCGGAACCATCTACAACTCAGCTAGGCCCAGTGCCGCCACAAAATTCCATTAAAGACACAGTGGCGTTGGAACAGCATGGTCCGTTTCAATTCTTTTGGTTTTCTTATCCACCCTCCACCACGCGCTTTCCTGATTTTATGAGTTTGTTGCATGGGCTCAATTTAGATCTGTGAATGCCACTTGAGATTTGACGCACTTAGTGCCATGCTCAACCTTGATTTAGACCTAAGCCGGACCCAGCTGGGCATCCGGTTTCGCGGCCATTTGCTGGCACCAGCATGCCCTTTTTAGGAGTGTGTAAATATTTTTTTTATCTTCAAGAAGTGCTTAAGTGGAATTTGGGGTTATATGATGTCTTGATTGGTTGGGATCAGGGAAAATGTAAATGGTTTCACTACATGGGCTTCTTAATTCGATGATTTGTTTTGAATTTCAGTTGCCCCGCTTCCTTTGGAATTACTGAAGGATGTTGGTAATAATGCCGATCTTCACAACGGTGATTCGACCGAACCATGCCTCGAGTCATCTAACTTGGAAGTGGGGCGGTCTCAGCCAAGTCTTCCTCCTGATGCGAACGCCATCAAGCTTTACTCCCCTGACGAAGAGAAGGTCATCATTGAGAACATTCGACAACTGGCTGGTCGCATTCTCGAACGGTGGTCGAAGCTTCCAGTGAGTTTACTGCTACTGCTATTCTCCCTCAAAAGATTTGATGGTATGGGTCTTAGACCGTCGCTAACTTACCGCTTCAGACAACTTAGGAACATTGGAAAATGCGAATAAAATTGAAAGCTACCTCGTTTTCCTTGACGTCACATTATTTTCATCCGGGATTACTTCTGTGAGCTTTGGAATCTCACCTTGTGCTGCTTTTTGCCGTGACGACCTAGTCTGTGGCTGGTGTCCATGCGACAGAAGCCGTTTTTGGCCGCACTTGAAGTTACGCAGCTGTTGCACCTACTCCATTGGTGAAAGTACAACCACTGACTTCCGTTGATGCCAGGTGTCCCCCATTCAAAATGGTCACAACAGTCATATTCAAATCCCATTACTGTCAAAGCCTTTTCAGCTCTTTGAGGTGTGCTGGAGAGTGTTTTCTGAGTATATAAACGCCTTGTTGTCCTCACGCGATAGACACCATTGAAGAACCTTATAACTTCTTGCTGGAATCAATCACGGGCAAAATTAGATCACATGTAGTCAAAAAAGTTGTTTCAATAATTTGGTAATACAGGTGATGCAATAATACTTATTAATTTTTAACTGTTTCTAGGTAGAGACGTATCGGATTCCTCGCCTTGAGCGTGAGGAAACTGAGCAGTCCATTCTTCAATCGTCGCGTTCTGCCCTTGTTTCCTGGGGGATTTCTCCCACAAAAGACGGTACAAAAATGTCCTCTTTTAGTCCACTATTAAAAATACTTGACCAATATTCCTTAAATCTATGGATCTTGGGGTTTCGTGTCTAGTTTATCTGGGTTTTAATTTTTCCCAAATTGTTACCTCCAAGGTTGTAATCTCATATTAAGGTCACAGCCATTGTCAAATACCGTTCGCTTGTGATTTCAATGCTAATTTTTGAAATTGTAGATTCGTTCCATTCATGGCGTCTGCTTTCACAGGATTCCACACAGAGCAAGTGAGTTCGTGTTGCTTAAAAGTTGACTGGTGTACCTTCTTTGATTTGATTTGAAAGCAGCAAGAGTAGGGCCTTGGTTTGTTGTGCACACTGGTAAGTGTAGCAATATAATGCTCAGATTGGCGGCTGCAAAGTACCGTCATCTCGTACATTCTGCGAAAGAAATTATCACTGAAGTTGCAACTCACACACAACAGAGGCGACTTCGCCCTTAAAGCTCAGCGAATCTATTTGCATGCAAGTGATGTTGGTGATTGTAAGTCGATGTTGGCGGTCACATGAAATCTTGTCGAAAATGTTTGCCTCTTGAGTATCCAAACAGGCCCTTTGTTTTGTTTGCCTTTAGACTTCAACCTCATCGGTGTCCGCTTAAGTTTCAATTTAGGGAAAGAACCTGCACCAGACAGACTACTGTGATTCAACCAGTACCTAATTTTCCAACTGCGACGACAGTTGTAAATGCCATTGCTGCCAGCGGTGTTGTGTTAAAGTATGCTACTGGTGTGAAAGTAGGGATGAATTGTCACAGACTTGGTTTGGCGTTGCTGATCCAAGGTGATGAATGAGGACAATGAAGTGGGTCGATTGTTTGAATATCGAGGATGGCACTTTTGTAACTGATACCTTCGTTTTTAGGATTTTTTTCGCAATCGTAATCCCGGCGAGCCGATATTTTAGCAGTGTTACAGCTTATGTTGGATTAAAGCTAGTTGGCTGTTATTGTGCTAATTCGGTTTCGTTCGTCAATGAATAAGCGGAGACTTGGGAACTTCTTCCGGCAAATGTAGGTTCATCTTGATGTATGTAGGGGCCGTCGATTTGTACTTTATGGCTGGGTGGTTGATATTATCGCTGTTTACGTTTTTCTCTAATATTTGACTGGTCTCGAGTCACAATATTTCTTTTGTTATCCTCTCCGTGGACCCCTGTAGTCGTATCTGTTTACTCGGGTGTGAGATTCACTCCGGAGCAACTGCACTATTATTGCTGTTGCGGTCCGATTCGATGCAAATACCCAGAGTATAATGAACGGCCCTACCGTTCACTACGCTGGTGATTCTGGATGTGTTCCGTTGTGGCTCGTACCGCGTATTTTGGGTCGTATGTTTGTGTCGAATACTCGAGCCCTAGTATAAAGGAGACTGGTACAATAGAACTGGCCTTGTTGACCAATTATAAGTCAGAACTATGCTTTTGCTCATTCTGATGGACATTGGGCGTCATTGTACCTCACATATGACTCCAAATGGTCAATTTTAAAGGTACTCGCTTACGTTTTCTTCACAGGTGTTCGGTTGCAAATCACTCGTCACCGAGGTCGGATCGTCAGCGTCATCGGCGGGATCGCAAGAGGAGTTCAAAGTTGACCCGGTCTGAACGCCGGGCTCAATTTGAGGCTAATATGCGAGCTGCGGAGGCAGCTGCATCGTCCATTTTGGCTTCAAAAACTACCCTAAATCGTGACAACGCGCTGTCCACACCCTCCGACAATTCGACATTGTCAACCTCTGTGTACGATCTTCTGCTCAATGTGCTTTCTCGAAAGATTTCGAAGGTGAAAGGCAACGATGCTACGTTGGTGCTTCAGCAAACGATCTCTGTACTGTCTAAAAAACTGTGTGAATTTGCTGAAAAAGAGGACACTGAGGGGGTAAGGCGTTCAAGCTGGCGTTTTGTATATACTTGTGTGTACGTGTGTCACCCAGCGCTACAAGTCGGTGCGGCCGGTGTTCACATTTGGCTGTGCCCCGAATGTTCCACTTTTGCGGTCATCTTTGTACTTCACACAGTTCGTGGTAATGTCTCTGAACATGGTAGCGTCCAGCACAAACTGGGAATGGGTGTCGTCTTCTGTTGATAAATTGAGGCCAAAATTGATGTGTTTACCCTGAAAACTACTTTTCCATTAAACCCAAATTCTTCAGTTCTTAGCTTTCATTAGGACTGTAAAAATTGCATCTTCTTATAATGGGAGTAAGGCGGTTAAATTGAATGCCTGTTTTTTAAGTTATTAATCTTAACCAATCAAAGCGAAACTTAGCAAATTTATCCAACCTTGACGTAATTGATTAGAATTTAATCCGTTTTCGTACGTGTGTATGTTTGTGTGCGCGAACCAATTTGAAATGATGGCAGTCTGAAGACGATTGTCGGCTCAACCTGACCTACTCAGTATAAATGTGGTCACGTTTGCGACTGTCTTGGGTTCCAGAGAGTGTCGTTGAGATCTATGGTTATAAGGTTCCAGCGGTTTTTGCCAATGCCGGTCTCGTAGTAGTGAGTAGGTCTTACATTGGCATCATGCGAGTGCTTTATCTTTCTTGCCATGTCATGTGAGCGACGACTTTGTAGATGCCTCAACAGTGGTAAATTTGATTTCAATGTCTCCCGCGTCATTTGCGTAATCTGAATCCCCGCTTTTGGTGAGAGATAGCTAGTGTTTTGGATGACTCTGCATTCAGTTAATATTCAATGGTGGATCACGGCCCCACGAGCGTTGACTGCAAGTGCAGCAAAATTGATTTTTCAGCTGGTCGCGTATCTGCGGAGCCTTACCGACGGGACGTCTCCTATCACAGACGGTGGCCGCCCCTCAATCGACGGTGCAGAATCGTCTCAAGCCCCGCCTGCCCCCCTCCCCTCTCCATCTGCTTCGTCTTTCAAACTCGAGCCTCCGTGGTGTTCCGCCATCGACGCCAGCACGGGTCGCACATACTACTATAATTCCATCACGCGAGCTGTGCAGTGGGAATTTCCTTCAGTCCCTGTTGAGGCAGGTGTCCTAGCACTGCACATTTTTTTTCTGCCCGACATGTCTGATCACTGAGCAAAATGTGCTCCAATTTCTAAAATAATCTACGGCCTTATTGCCCCTCCACACAAAAGCTGTTTAGCGTGCCTGTTCGCCAGTATATCGGTAACTTTCTTAGTGGAACTAATTTGTACCTAAGTTGGTGACGCAAGTAATCCATATTTTCAGAACGACCAGCCGGCTGTAAAAAAGCGGGATTTCCTTTCTGAGGTGTACGCCTGTACGATGAAACTCCTTAAGCCTTTTCGCTTGCCCAACTGCTTAACAGGTCGACTGGAAAGTGACGACGACATGAAGTACGTCGCGAAGAAGGTTTGTTACATTGCTCTTTCGTTTTGCGAACTCCGGCAGCACCTAATTAGCGCATTTGTTTGTTTTTTTACTTGAATTTGTTTAGTTTGCTCTAGTGTTTGCAGAAAAGGAGAAGGCTAGATGTCAGCCTGGCCACGAGCCTCAACTCAATCGCGAGATGGTCGAGCATTTTCGTCTCAAAGTCACCCGCTACCTGACCTCCAAAGGTGAGGTCTACGTGCGAAGTCGGCATAGCGTTCAACCCCCTCAAGCGTCGGTCGGCGGTGACGACGACTGCGATATGGAAATAGACAACGATGATTCATAGTCCTACATGGCTTCTGCTAGGCAGCCCGTTTAGATGTTTGTGCCTTCCGCCACGCCACCCGATGTATATATGTATTTTTAAGTGTGCGCGCGTGTGCATGTGTATACTCTCAACTTCCTCCCTCACCCCCCCACCCTTTTTATGACATTAGGCTTAAAACGAGTTTGGGCTAGCCGTTTTACAGTGTCGCAAGCGAAACCCATGGGGTGTGTGTGTTTGTGTGTGTATACAAGGAGCGCTGGATATCTTTTGCTTTCTTTCAACCTTCTATAAAGTAACTTTTAATATCCTTGGCTGTGTTATGTTTATTTCCTGCCTACGTCGTCCGATTGTCTGCGTGTTGTGAGAGCATGCCAGAGCGTCCTTTTTTAAACTCGACCAACTCTCTTCCCCATTCCCGCGCATGAAGTCGTTTCAGCAGTTGTAGGTTTACTAATTCACTCAAATGCTTAGTGTTTTGCGCATACGCGCATTTATGTCCAAAAACGACTTGTAGGCCTCTTTACTTTCAGTCTCTTTTGCCCAAATGACATCCTAGCAAATTTCTTCTGAAAATATTATCCAATGATTAATAATAATGAGCCTTATTGGTTTTTGTTATTTCTTTTTTTTGATTTCGTTTAAGTCGATATGACGACGGTAATATCAAGCCTCAAGTCTTTCATTGTTTCTGGAATGGAGGGTCCTTCCAGAATTAGGGAGTACGACTTGAGCCAGGTGTACTCATTCCTTATTTGAAGGACCGCCCGATGAATACGTGTCCATCGAGTTTGGATAATATTCGAAGTAGTTACCCAGTCTACTCACTTAGTAGATTTCAGTGAAGTACTATGACTCTCTGTTACGTGATAAAAGACCTATCTTGTTATCGAGTGGTGTATTTTATCGTCCCTCTGTGTGTGATCTCGTCTTTTTGATATAGTGAGTCGAGGATAAGTCAGCGTGGTTATAGTCAATTTATTAATTACTTTAAAGAAAACCCCATTTTACGTGGTAGAACGATGTAAGTTATTTACCGCTTCTTCCCAAATAACTTCTAGATATCTGTAAAGTGGGGATCGTTAGGGTTAGACCCGATAAAGTCGTGTAACTGTACTTTAATTCCTTAAACCTCATAAACTGCTGGATAGTGGTCGAACAGGGTCGATAGTTTGGGTCGCAGTTTTTACTACATTAACGACATGGGAGCAGGCATTACCCTATCGCACAGGAACTCCAAAGTGTTTATGATGTCTACTCGATGCATCTGCTGGGCTTTACGTTCTGCATGAACTTCTTCGTTATTCGCACAAAGCTCATGATGACAACGCTTTCACAATTCTGCCGGTATTTGCTTTGCTCCGTCTGTTGGTTGTTTTCTTGTTTGAGCTACCTTTTGTTTTAGATAGCTCATAATGGCATAAACACACTCCTCTTCATCCCCGCTTATGACTCATCAAAGCAATTTTTAAAAAAGTCCTTTTGGCGGGAAAGCCCTCCGGCAGCACTCGTAGAAAGCTGTTGTAGTTGCCTCACAAAGAATGTTAAATCCATGCGCCTAGTCTCTGCTCTTTTCTCGTCGAATGAAGGCAGCCAAAACAGTCTTCTAGTAGGGCCCACCACCCCAGACTGCTGTCCTTACACAAACTCACAGAGTCGAGGCCTAACAGTGTTGCTGACTCAAATGCCACTAGCGTCGCCCTGCATGAAGGCTCTGAGACAAAGGGCAAGTGGGGTGGCAACAAGAAGCATCGCTGCCCCAAGTGTTAGGTTTGAAAGTCACACTTCCAGGCACAGATATTCGTAGAAATGCAATGGCTTCAAATGAGGCAGTGCAGATAATTGCAACAGTGCGATCTCGGGCGGATATTTTTTAAACTTATCTCAGCAATGAAGTAATAACAATAAGAATATTACCTAGATAAGCACTATGTAAATGGTGTTGTTCTCCCTACATTTGGTGTCGCTTTTAGCGTGATTTAGGAACTTGCGGAGTGTACTCACTTTGGCCAATGTTAGTTGAGGGTCAACTTAAAAAGGGAGTTCAAAAACGAACACTTCCTACGTGCCTGAAGCTATTAGGCTGGCAAGGACAAAAGATTCAGAAAACTGCAGTGCTACTAGCTCAATACAACCCACACGCCAGAATCGGTGGGGAAATCACGTTCTGCAGATTTTTCACTCAAACGCGAACAAAAACCTGGCCGGGATCTGGCAATTGACAGCGACCAAATCGTACCCATTGATCGAATCGGATCGTTAGAATCAGTGCGAGGACACACAGAAAAGAAGTTTGTCATGTTTAACAATTCATAGTCGCCTAAGACGCTCTAAGTCCGCTAAGAAGCTCGAAATTCCTGTTTTGTTAATTTATTGGAATCGCAATGACGTTGCCTGCTTGAAGTTGATGCTCGTCATCAATGTCTAATGAACCTGAAAATGACCAAACGTTCTATGTCGCAAAACCTTCACTAAAGCCGGAAAACTTGGACGGAACCTTGTTTTATTGTCGGCAGAGTCCAGGAGTTATCTAAACGCTGCAACAATGAAGCTGCCGGAAGGATCGCAGGAGGTCGCCAAAAAAAGTTTGCGATATTGCTAGTTACCAATCGTTTTTTTACAAACCCAAATTAGCTTTTTCCAGATGTTTTGAATTGTGACATCCTTCTTTAGTTTGTAAAATTGTGGTGCTGCCTATCTGTTGTCTAGCAAGTGTGTAAACTGAGTATGTCGCCTGATTTAACTGATTTTTAAATGTAAGTCGGGTGACGAAGGTATGTTCACTGGTGTCGGGAAGATGAGAGAGCTTCTCAACCCCGGAGATTAACTCGTGGTGAGCAGCAAGCGAGCACAGTTAGCAGTCGTGAGCGAACGCAGTGTGCAAGCGCGAGCGAAAACGATTCAATCGATTTTAGTGAATGCACTTCATGTAATTCCCATCGTTCAGAGATCGATGCTTAGCAGAGCTACATAAACGCACTTGTTATCCTGTAAAAACACACACCAATATTGCATCAATAAATTAGTTGGGCTATGCGCCATCTGCATTTTTCCACTCTTCTTTCGGTCGGACCGTGTTAGCGTATGTCGCCAGCCCTGGTGTGGTTCCCCAAGACCGCACTGGGGTTCGCTACAAACTGAATGGCCTTGTGACAGCCCATACAGTTGTTTTTTCAGACTTTTATAAATTGAAATACTCACCTCCAAAGAGGTCAGATTCGTGTGGTTGCCATCTGGGAAAACACTATCTTTCCCAGTTTAAGTGTGAACTAAACACAATCAAGATTAGAGGGTAGTTTTTTTTTAAATAAAGCCTATTTAACTGTGCAGATAACGGTTGTTTCTTGGTGCCAAATAAATTTACAGATTAGAATCTATTCGCGTGTAAAACTTGGACAAAAATTTCAACGTCAACAGTTTGTAGTATAAAATAACCTTTTGTTAAACTAGTGATAGGTTGCTACACTTAATAAACAATATTGAAAAAGTACTCAGGTCAAAATATGCGCAATTTCATTCGATGGATGACAAGTCGTTAATTTTAAAAGGTGCTTCTTACAGTTCCACGCTTCACAGATATGTCCAAAGACTTAAACTTTTCTATGATAACGACTTTCGAATTTCCAGTAAGTTTACGCCTATTAGTTTGTCTACTAATCAGCTACTTGTCAACGGGGAAAAGCGTACTGGTGTATGCGAAAAAATTAACGTCCTCAGTTTATGGGGTCTATTTTATCATTCGTAAGTGCTGTAATTGTGCCATAAGTGCAGTCTGCGACAGTCTGAACGGGGCCTTTGTCAAGAAGACACAAACCGCGTCCGTGAGGAAGAGCAATTTCTTTTCAAAAAGACATCCGTGTCTGCGGTAAGGGCACATTTTCGGTTTATGTTATTGCAGACGCTTATCTCCATGCCCGGCCAATGACATTTCCCAACTCCTACTACGCATACTTCTCTTCCCCATTCTCCTAATTAGCCAATGGCTGACAATGGTGTAAGATACACCTGTGCATATGTCACATAACTGGCCTGGGGGTTCACACACGCGTGCACACAGACACCCAAAGCGCACAGCTACAACAGACGCGCCATGTTATCTTCGTCTGATGCTGTGGAGATAAATGAAAAGGGGGCCCAAAATGGTGACACCTTCCAGAATCGCAAGACATCCCGTCTGAGGCGATATCTGCCCATGCTATGGAGACCGGCGGCAACTGTCCTTGTTCCCCTAATTATTGTAATTGTCCTTCAGATGGTCATTATTTGCCTCATTGTGAATTCCCACCAAGCGCAGAAAAGTAGTGACCAGATGTGTGCACCTGGCCAGGTAAGTCACTAATTATGGCTAAATTTGCCTTGATAGCTAGTAGGCTATTGGTCGGCCTTCTAGAAAGTTGTTAAATTAGCGTAATAGCACCAGAATGTGTAGCGCCATCAAAGTCAAGTGAAAAAAAAGGTTTTTTTGTAAATCACCTTCGTATTGGTATGCCATTATCCACAGCACGTGGTTTCCAGGGCAGTGTAAATTGAACAAATAAATCACCAACTTGAAGTCCCACATTCAACTCAGACACCTCACTGCCTTAAGATTCGCTCGTTAAAACCACTTGTTATTACTGAAGGTCACAGCCCTCCTGTATAAATAGTGATGAAGTTGGTAAATGCTTAAAGGTTAGCTCTTGCAATGATACAGCGTCAATTTCTTAAACCTTGCTCTACGAGGAAATCTGCAGCTTGTGAATTTAATGTGTTGAGGTAGAGGGCTTCACATAGCTACACATGCCTGTCTGATCCTTACCAGCAAGTCCTAACTAGGTCCGAACCTCGCAGGCAGAGAACTGGGTCTAAAATTAAGCAACTAAATTTTAACCTCGTGGAATCACTACTTTGTGGTCTGGAACACAGGATGCTGTTTCAGACGAATGCTGAAGTTCAACTTGAAAGTGCGCCACCTAAAACCAAAACATCCCTATTTGGTTTTTATTCAGAGAATTTCAAGCGGATTATTCAAAATTAGCTCT